CGCCCGCCGCCGCCGCTTTTGTGGGGCGGCGCGGGCCCGGGCGCGGGAGCAGGTGCCCGGCAGCCGCCCGCACCGCACCGCACCGCACCGCGTAGGTAGGAGCGCCGGGGCGCGGAGGCTCCGCGCGGGGCTGAGGCAGGGCAGGGCTCGAGAACTCCCGTGGAGCAGCTCGGACAGGGGCGTCGGGCAAAGCCGGGCCGAGGGCCACTGGGGCGGAGCGGGGCCGCGGCTTTCCGCGGTGCAGCTGGGCCAGGCGGGCTGGAAGGGAGCGGGCTGCCGGCGGGGCAAAGGCCTGCCGCCGCCTCCCTGCAGCCAGAGCATCACCGGCTGTGACCCCGCGCCCCTCCGCCGGAGAGCGCACCGAGGGATGGGATGGCACGGGTCCCCCTTTCAGCAGTGTCAGGCTCCGCTGTCTTCTTCAGCCGCCTCGTTCGCATCCCGGGGAGGAACTAACCGCAAGGGTTCCGGGGAAGAAGCTCCGACAACGTTTAGAGCCTTTGTGGCCGGCAGAGCGCCCCGCTGACAGGGCCAGTCCCGCCGGGCCGGGACTCCGTGCCCTGCCCCGCCGTGGGACAGCCCGGAGCGCGGGTTTAGGGTCCTCGTTGTTTCCTAAAGTGCAAAGATTGCTTTGTCTCCGTGAACGTCTGACCTGTGTTCGTTCTGGATGTGCTGTCAAAAAATCATCGCCCGGGATTGTAAATGAAGAGATTACAAACAAACGACTGGAACAGAGTTATTTTCTAACTGGCAGCTCTGTTTACAAAATTAAACTTCAGAGATAAAAACTTTTATGGAGTCTGTAGCATCTTCTCTGAGAAATTGGATGTCATCCAAAACTGGTCTCCAGTGCAAATCATTATAAATGTTGGTAAATGTTTTACTTTATTTTATTGTGATGTTCCAATTGTTTGATTCGTAAGTTTGAGGTTTGGGATCTCTCTCTCTGAAAACTGCCGTAAATAAAACTTTATTCATATAGCTGCCCTGCTCAGTTAAATGAGTGTCTGTAAAGTTGTTGAGCCAGTCTGTGAAGTATCAGCCTGCCCCTGGGTTGGTACTGGCTGGCTGGAGGGGACGGCATGTAGCGGGGACCAATGGCATCAGGAGCCTCCCGGGGGGGGTCAAAATACCCCGCGCGTTAGATGTTCAGCAGCGAAGCAGTCTGGAAACCAGTGTAGTGGCAAGATGATTACAGGGGAAGAACAGTGGTGAGAAAGGAATTGGGGAGATAATAAAATAGAAACAAAACTCCTCCTGAGAAGTAGAAAGTGAGTGGGCGGAGCCACAGCCTGTTAGAAGGTGTGTTATGTTTTACTTCAAGACACGAGCTTAAGATTTACAATGTATTGTTGCTGCTGACAGTCTTAACTGAGTCTGAAATCAGAATCAGAAACTTTAAAATAAAATTTATATTTCTAAGGGGTACTAATAAGGCTAAACCGAATAAAAATTAGTGAAAATGAGCATTTTGCATTCTTGTCATTTTGGGGAAATAACTTGGGGAAATGGAAACGGAAGGAGCATGACACTGCCCTTTTAATTTTTTTGAGTATTTGACTCAAAGAAACATACATGTCCTTTCAACACACGATTCATAAATCAATTCTCTTGTGCTCTAGAGCTCTTTAAGTGCAGCTTGTGGATTTGAGTCCAGGAGGGTCTGCCAGAGCTGGAAGTTGTTTGGTGTGGTGACCCCTTGGCAGGAGGCTGGGTGGGCCTCCTACCGCCAAGCTCCTTGACTCCTCCAATGACTCGGTGGATGGGGTTAGCAGAAAGAACAGGGGCACCTGGAAAAATGAACAAATTTGTCACTTTACCTCACACCTGAGGTGGGCAGGCAGACAAGGGGGTGCCAGGATTCCTGTGCCAGACACCCTCGTTGTCAGTGTCTTTCATTCCTGCACACTTGACTAGCACTGTAGCACCCAGCTTCTGCAGCTCTGGTGTAATAAACTAACACCTGCCATGCAAATTAGACCTGACTTCATTTTCATTAAATGTCGCATGCACTGCTAGGCAGTTGTGTTGATTCTCTCTGTGCTGACAACAATCTCTGACTCGTACTGGGCACAAAGAAGAGGGGCTCAGCAGGAGGGTGTAGGGACTGATACATAAGCACGTGGCATAATTAGTGATGTGTGGCAAAGAGCTCCCCATCTAGGAGTGGAAATTTGCAAATCCAGATGCTTACAGAGGGCCAGGGACTGTTACCCCATCTAATTACAAGCTGCATTGTTAGTCAGTGTCATTGAGATCCAAGAGGACAATGGTCATTGAGATACACTGGAAATGGTGTCAAGTTATTAACAAGCTGCAATAAATGTGTAGGTGGTAGTCTGAAATAGACATACTTGTCAAGCAGAGTTCTTTCATGTTTGCTTATAAGAAAAAACTGTTGTGGATGTGGTAAAAATATGTGAACTGTCGATTGTGTGGTAACTTGCCCTGACCTCAATACTGCCAGATTGACTGCAGACAATGAGTTTGTAGAATTCCCCTAATGTCTCACCCAAGGTTAAAGAAACAAACAAAAAAAACCCCAAACAAACATCTTGGAAATAATCTGGAGGGGAAGAAAATAATTGAATGATCCTCGTTAAGTCCCTGAAGCACCACTTCAGGACTGGTTACTATCCTGCTCAGATCACGAGAGGGTTGCTTATTTTGTACCAGAAAAAGAAAATAACCATTTTCTTACCTCTTACAGGAGCAAAGCTTAAAGCTCATAGGTACTGAACTTTTATATGTAGAAACCAAAATATAGTTTAGCCAATAAGCAGCAGCAGCATTACCTGCCCTCCATTGCAGTGTCAGTGAGCCTTAATCCTATTTTAGGAAAATCATCCTTAAAACTCAGTCTTACTACACATCTTACTTCAGCTTCACTCATAAAGAAAGTCTCTAAGCATAAGCTTCTCTGAAAACAGGTACAGAGAAATCTACTGGAAACCTTTATATTTCCTTTAAGAGAACAATTTAGCAAGAGTCTAGCTTGCTGTGTATAAATTCACCTTTTCACAGACTATTTCCCTTTTGATTTAATTCTTCTTGAATAAGAAATGCAAGGTCTGGTCCATAACTGGATAACTTATATGAAATGCAGTTTGTTCACAATTCTGAAAATGCAGTTTGTTCACTGCTGTATTAGTTTATGAACTATAAGCAGCAAAAAGCAATTCAGGGGTTTATATATGCCCATATAAACTTAAGGTACTTGTCTTCCCAAGCATCTGCTGGGATTCTGTACAAAGTCTGAAGATGTATGAAAATAAGATTTACAGTGAAACAGCTCTTGCTGATCCATACTGTGCTCTATCTAGAACCATCTGATTTGCTGTTGTAAGAGAGGTTTGCATGTATTTATGGTGATTTGCTTATGGTGTCACCTTCAGCTTCCACAGCAAGCAATTAAGGTATCTCAGGAGCAGGCTGAGTTCACTGAAAGAGTGCACAGCAGGAGCAGATGCACTGCTAGGGTGCCATCCAGCAGAATTATCTGTAATGCTCCACACTGTAGAATAAAAAAGGCCCAGGACTTGTCGTGCCACTTGCCTGTGCAGGCCATATTCAGCAGAAAAAATACATTAAATGGCACAGACAGGTTTGGGGCCAGGGGAGAGCAGCACCAGGCCAGGGATGGACACCACAGAGTGCCTGTGCTTTCTGAGGCGTGTGCCTGACAACAGCCAGGTGATCATTTGTGTGTATTCCTGTCTCAACCTTCTGTAATTTTATTTGATCAAATGAAACTAGGTTGTTTCCCAACATTAATAGTGCACCTTTTTTTCTATAGAAAAATAGTTCTGATTTTTACTTTTAGATATTGCTTCTGGCTAGAGAATATCAAACAATATAAGCTTAGTGTTTTCCCTGTGCCTTCATGTGTTTTGTAATGTTAAAAAAAAATTGATGAAATGTTGAAAGAAAAATTCAACTCTTGCAGTTCACATTTTTGGCAAATCTGAGTCTCAGGAGCGGGAATTTTTGGTGGATACAGGTAGTTACAAACAGAAGGTCAAAGGGGAAAGAGTTACACAGTCTTAACCAAGTGGGAATTGCAGCAGTAAATTAATGTCAAATTATCTACCTTGAAGGATCCTTGGGCTACACAGGCCCTATACTGGGGTTGTATATTTTGAAGAGCAACACAGCTTATTAAGATAACTTAATAATAAATTCCATCTGCTGAATTTTACTGCCTGCCTGCAATACAGTATTTGACTTCTGATCTCACATATATATTACACAGAGAAACTTTTAAAATGGGAAAGAATATTAACTCACTGCTAAGGGCATTTGAAAACCCCATCCCTGAGACAAATATTAAACATTCTGGTGTATACAATCATAAATGTCCATGTGTAGAATAGCACTATCAAGCTTTTTTTTTAAGTAACATTGGATTTCAGTCTTACCTTGAGATGTCTGTTTTACAGCTACATTTACTTATGGCATGCACAGCAACAGATCTCTCTTGCTGTATTGACTGATGATGTGAGATAATTTATTACTTACATGGAATATCAGCAGATTTTCTTTCAGGTACAAAAATTTCCTAAGTGAGTGATGATGCCAAGGTCAGGAGCTCGATTTGGTTTTTTTTGTCATGGACTTCTGTTGAAACAAGTGCATTGTTACAAATGAATAACTCAAACTGGAAATTAGTTGCCATTCAGATAGGTAATTCTATTTTAACAGGGCAAAATCCCAGCCCAAGCTGCCAGAGAACGCTCAGCTAAAGCCAGCACGGGCTGGAACAGCGTGTGTGCTCTCTGTAATTGTAAATGGGGCCACCTTGGTCATGCTGCCTCTTCAAACTTAAAAGAATTAAGACCAAAGCTGTCCAAATGTTAACTGAAACTCCTAATAATTAAGGGTTATTAGGGGCTGTTGGCTGGCTTTATTTTCTACTGCAGTGCACTTGTATTTGTGGATTCTATTTATACACAGAATTAAGAGCTCTGTTTGAA